CCAGCCAAAAATCTCAAAGGCTTTCTCTAAGATTTCCTCACAGACAACACAGAGCCATCACCCCACAGTCAATGTTCTCCTCATCTTGATGGAGCACTCTTCATTCTTCTGCCCTCGGCACCCAGCAAACACTTGTCCTGAGCAGCCTACAGGTGATGGTAACTAGAATGGCCACTATTGGCATGGGACACAGGGCAAAGGATTTTGCAGCAATTTTGTGTGGTCTTGAGACCTTTTTCCAGAAGGCCACATTTTTTTTTCTGAGATGAAATCAGAAGTTGTTAGGATGTGTGTCCCCTTTTTCTCAAATAATCAAACGCTCCTTTCATCACTCCTCTCTCCAGTTCAAGAGCTCTCCAGATTTTCTAACCAGCAATTCAAAGACCGTAGTTTCAGGAGTTTCAGCACTCCCATGAGACACAAGGGAAACAAGATAGAGAAATGAGGAGAGGAAGAGAAGGCAATGCTGAAAACTTTGCTCATTTACTGAAGGAAGCAGCAAAACTTGTGCTTTACTTGACTACAAACAATGAGTGATCAGTACTAAAGATAACAGCACAAACCACATGGCTACGCCGTAATCATGGAGAGGGATGACTTCTAACATGCCACTCCGAATCAGGGCCAAAATGTCAGGTTCAGAGAGGTGTCTAAGTCAGCAGGTTGTTTCATGCTCTGTTCCCTCGGACTCGTACCCCTCTGAGCTTGGCTTAGCTGTCCTACACAGCCAAAGGGAGTTCTGAGCTAGTGCAGATTTCATCTATAATTCCTGTGCAGTGACCATTTTAATGAAAAGCTTCACCTTGCCAGCATAAAACTCTTTAAATTGACCATCCTTGCAATACTTGTGTCTTTTGATCCACTGCCTCTCGTAAAACTGGCTAACCTTTAAGTTCATTATGTTCTTAAAATTATTGCTATGTTCTGAAAATCATTGCTTTGCATTCAGAGAGTGAAACTATTCACCAAATTAGTATGTCATATCTGAGCTACCTACCTGCAAATTTCTAGTCTCCCTATTTAAGTGGAATTGACTTGCCACGGCACAATGAAAAGAAAATCAATAATTACAGACTCCAATTTGCCATAGATTTGTTAAACTTCACTTCCTGCTGTCATGCCCTCAATAGTTATGGTCAAAGATACATCCTTGCAATCTGTTCTAGCTACATTATAGATGCCTTGGTCTTCCAAACATTCAAAGGAAACCAGCTGGAAACACTGCACTTAACTGTTACTAGTGAAGACTGTATCCATCTACATAACTGTGCCCTCAAGAGGTTACAGACAGCATAACTTTCACCTCAGTTGTCAGTTCTTTGAAGCAATCCAACAGAAATGTTCGTGAAGCGTGTTCTGAGACACCCCAGCAGCAGCTTGCCGGCCATGGACTGCAGACCACTGCAGAAATGGCTGGCCTTGGGGTGTTGGCTACTTCTTGTCACCCACTACCAAATTTCCTTAGAAAAAGCTAAAAATAGCATTGTTTTTCATCTAAGCAATTGCTGTAATGGCTACAGAGCTGTCACGTAATCATGCATGGGAAAGGAAGCATTCCCATAACTGCAAATGGGAGGAAAAGTCTATGATGCAATCATCCTAATAGGAACAGAAACTCAGTGTATCATCCCAGAGTCATCTTAAAATACATGTATGCTCTGTAGCCAGGATTATCTGAAACAGCAAATATAGACTAAGTACGTAAGATCAACCCATATCTAAAGACCCCTCTGACTCTGCATGGATCTGCAGGTTCTGCCATTCAATTTTTATGAGAAGAGCAGATTTATGGTATAAGCACTCATTAATAATTCACTCCCCTGAGTTGCCACATACAACTTGGGGAAATCCCAGCTGTAAAACCTTGGCACCATTTACAAGCTGCACTACTTTTATACAGGTGTTATTCCACTGACCTACTTGGAGTACCCCTCCTTCGCACTGCTAGAAGAAGAGGATCAGGCTGTTTGCTTACCACCTCTGGTAAGCAAACCTCTCTGCCATCTCTTCACAGCAGTAAAAATGCTTCCAGTCTTGGAGTAAGTTAGTTTTAGCAACCTTCGTGCTTTGGCTCACCACAGCTTCAGGGGCTTGTACATCTCACCCACTCCTGGGCCTCCCATAATACTCTGTTGTCAATTGGCTTAGTTCCTCATCAAGTCCGTGTTTTTAAATCAAGTTGAGAAAATTACCTGGATCCTAGACTGATGGAACACCGCTAAAGCCGTAAACTAGCTACACTGAGCATGCCTTTATGCTGGTTTCTAACCTCCAGAGAAATACGGTTTATTCCAGCACTCATCCTCCGCCACTGGAGCTGGAGCCACAGCAGGGTGTCAGTGCACGTGACTCAGACGAAAAGAAACAGAAAGTGAAACCGCCTAGCCACCTCCTCGCCCTAACATGAGGAAGAATTAACAGCATCACTCAGTGGGCTGCTTATTTCCCCAGGCTTTTTCTTCATATAAAGATAGGATGGGGTTCTCTTCCCCAATCAAAAGAAATATTCTTGAGGGTTTTATTTAGTTAGATCCCCAAGTGGAGGCCAATTAAAATGACAATCACCATACTGCCACTGAGCCATATTCAAAGCGCTCATCGTGGTATATAACTAAACCTACAACTGTAGTACAGGTAACAAAGAGCTGGCATTCCCGCTTAGTAAATAAAGTGAACAGCTCGCGCTACCTTGACATAAAACGACCTAATAATTTTAGTGCCTAAGTTAGACATCTGAATAAATGTAGTCATGTCATTTAAACAATGAAGCTATACTGATTTATAGCAGCTAAGGATCTGACTAAGGATGTAAGGATCTGATCTTTACCCTAATATGTCCCTTCAGTTCATCCAAATCACTGGCTTTCACCACCTGGCCCCTCCCTCGTGTCCCCACAGTTACTTTTTAAGCACATTAAGAAATGACGGGTTCTCACCTTGTTCATTTCTTATACACTTCCAGCAGTGCTGAGTGAAATGCGAGACAACCATAAAAGCCAGTAGAGGGGAAAATTAGACATGCTGTGTAACTAATTTCTGAACTGTAAGCAAAGTTGTTAGCAATTTTCATTTCATATCACAAGTTCACATTTCTTTGAATTGTTACCTACCAAGGACAAGCACTACCTGCTCACACCCTTCCAGGCAGGACGGGATGCTGCCTGCTCAGCCGGGACAAGATCCAGGGGTGGCCATAGTGTGGTCTGAAGGGACCTCTCACCTCCTTCCACAGGAGCCACCATCCCGCCTTGGAGAAGGGTGCACACCTTCAGCCCACACCAGCTTCCCAGGGGTGCGGGGTTCCTCCCATGTCCCCCAGCCGGCCACCCTCCGCTGGAGCTGCCATGTTTGCTGGGGTGGCTATAAGCAGACACAGGCACGGCCGGCCCCACTCCGCAGGCAGGCAAGGGAGCACTGCTGCGAGAAAGGGGCCAAACGTAAATTAAAACCAGACGAACTGAGCCAGCAGTTGGAAAGAGGGGGGGTGGTTAAAGCACAAGCCTGTGATGGCTCTAAGTGAAAATAGCCAGACCAAGCGGGCTTGCAGAGTGTCACCGAACCGAAAATCCCCTCCAGCCCCTGACTGCCCGGCTGGAACTGTATAATGGAGCAGGCTTCAAGAAGCCGCAGCTCCCAGCACAGTTAACTCTCCAGCAGCTGCTGCACTTTCAAATTGTCAGACATATAAAACACAGGAATGCCTGTGGGTCGCAAAGCTGAGGGAAGGGTGAAGCGACGGGGTCGGTTTTCTCTAAAGTACAGAAACTACTCAAAAAGTTGGAGGCAGGGCTCCCCGTGGCCGGGAGGGAGCTACACTGGCATCGCCTGGCTGGAAGCTTGGCACGGGGCCCTTTCCTTGCCCCAGTTGTCCACCCTGAGCTGGACGGTAGACGGGTTTTTGTCTTGTGCTTCCTTAGGGCTGCAGACTCGGGATGTATCCAGACTGTCATTGCAGGGCAAGTTTCTGTTTGGAAGGGAGAGAGATGGGGGTCCCGCTGCAGCCTGCTCCTCCACAGCATGAGCCAGGCCACCTGGCTGGGACGGGACGCTGCAGGACACCCAAAATGCTGGTACCTGTGCTGCCCCAGCACCAAGAGCTCGGGGAAACACGTCCCCTTACGGGGGTGAGCGCATGCAGGCGGTGGAGCACTTTCACCAGGTGAAAGTGAGTGCCACTGAGCTGCATGTCACCGATGACAAGAGAGTGATGATTTACTGGGAAAACTGTCCTATAAAAAACACACTTGAGGATCCTGTTTACTGTCTCATACCCTTCAAATACTCCACAGTTACAAATACTCCATACAATTACAAGATAAAAAAAGGAAGGGAGGAAATTCTCCCACACACTGTCTAGCCCATAGACTCAACAAACCCGCAGCACCCTCAGCAGGCAGCGTGGGTCAGACAGCCCGGCGGGGCTCCTCCTGGGTGATGGTGGGCCACCTCCACCAGGGATAAATAATCCCCACTTCAAACCTGGGCCACGGACTTGTTGCCAGATCCACACAGCTGCAAACAGCAGAGGTGGAGGGAGCTGTGCTGGTGATGGGGGTAGGAAAGAGAAAGAAGAGAGATTGTTCCCACATAAGACAGCCTCTCCTCTGCAAAACAGCAATGCTCCATGGGGCTCTGCAGCCTCCACATTTCTCCAGGTACCTCCATCCCGGCTGAGCTCCACGTTTCCACGTGGGAAACGACAGCCCACAAAAATGCTGCAAAGACACTGGCCCACAGAAATCAACTTGCCATGCAACTCACAAAGCTTGCACAACGACTGGGCAGGGACTAAGTGCAAGAGAGTGACCACAGGCAGCTGCATCTTCCGGCCACATTCAGGCATCCAGGCAACCAGCTCAACCGTCGAGGGAGCCAAGTGGTCTTCCTCACTAGCAGAAAGTTTGACTAACCCCCTCCTCATCCCAAAGCACCAGGGGAGTCTCCACACATGTAAACCTACAGCCTGGATGTCTCCATCCCCTCCCTGCATGAGCACTTACCCCCCAGGAACTGGATGCCTCCTGCCACCCTGCCCACGGTCCTGGAGATGAGCTCGGACACGCAGCAGCCCATGAGTGCCGTCAGGGCCACCAAAAGGAGTAGCCCGCAGCCCAGGCCCGTCACCACTGTGCAGATCCTCCACTCAGCGCTTGGGATGGCCTGAAAGGAGGCGTAGCGGCCACACTGCTCCACCATCACGGTCGTCTGGCGGCTCTCGTCCCGCACCGGGTAGGAACACCTCCGGAAAGTGCCGAAGGAAACCGACTTCTCCAGCTGAGACCCCAAGAGCCAGTAGGGCATGAAGAAGCCCACGCAGGAGGCGGCAGCACAGAGGAAGGAGAGGAAGGCCCAGACGACGCCGGCACAGGTGAGGCTGGAGGCCATCTTTGTATCTGCTCCAAGACCCCTCGCAATGGGGAGACAGAAAAGCAGCTGTGTATTTTAGAGGAGGTTTATGGATAATCCGGAGTCTCTCAGCCTTGACAAATCCTCACGCTGGGAGAAGCTCGGATCCTAACAGCTGGGGGGATGTTTCCTCCCATCATGAAGTCAAAGGTCCCTAATTAAATAGCACCACACAAAAAAAGGAGAAAAATACAAGTTCAGTAATACTGACATTAGAAAAAAAATGTTTATCTGCCAGAGTGTTTTTCCTTCCTGCAGGAGTGTTTTTCCTTCCTTTTCATTAAGATATCTCACTTTTCTGTCCCATCCTTGCAAGCAGCTGCTAGAATCGCTGTCAGCGATACTGGCTGCCAGGGACGGTGGGATGGTGGTGGCAGGCAGCCCAGCCGGCACAGGCTGCTGTGCGCATCCAGGAACGCTCTGCAGCCACCTTCAGGGGCTCCCCATGTACTTGCCTACTCACTTTTCTCCACCGTACGTCTTGATCTTTCCCGTACCGATAGAGAAAAAAGGCGAGGTCTCATTTATCCTTAGCTAGTCGGGCCTTCCTCCTGCAATGCCTGGGGAAGGTACTTCACATTATACATGGCCCCGCAGCTTCAGTGCAAAACTGCTCACAGTGCCTAAGGCTTTTCAAGATCAGACCCTTGTGGCAGAGGTAAATCGCATTAACACACCCTCGAGAGAAGTGTTACGAGGTGACATTTTTTCCAGCACTCCCTTAAGTTGTTGGCATCCCTGTGCCAATGTCTGCCATCACTTGATGTCCAGCAGTGCCAGTAACCCCAACTCCAGGCGGGCTCCTGGTAGGTGAAGACATTGCCACATCTTTTGGATTCACTCCCACGTAACCTCAAGCAGCACATGATTAAAACACAGGGGTCTCAATATTCCTGCTTGCACTCAGCCCAGCTCCTTCTCTTCTTTGCCTCTTCCCAGCTCAAACCCAGGAACCTTAAGCCCTCTGCATCCTTCTCGGACAACTCCCAGCCTCTAAGCTCAGTACCAGTGTGACCAAGTGTGTTTGACTGTCATAGAAACCTACACGCTGCTTCCCAAAGGTTGGGGGTGTATTTCTTGTTAAATCCACGCTGGATCGTTACTCCAAATGCATTTGTAAATTTATGATCATTTTTCACAGTTGCTGCCAAATTAATTCCTATAGCTATTTACAGGGGCTTTTTTTTCTAAGCATGATTAGACACCAATCAGTGAATTCAATACATGTACAGGCAATAAAATTAATACTACTTCAGCACGAGGAGGGAATGTAGAGAAAGAGTCTGTAAGTGAAATTAAGCATGTGTACCACACAAAAGTTGTGTTTACTTTTAAAACACTAAGAAAAAGAAGTCTCTTCTATAATGTTAAAAAAGGCCTGTGCTGCTACTCAAGAAGTATGCACCTATCTACTCGTAGCCCATCTGCAGAAATGCCTTTCAACCTGCAAAACACCAAACTCCTGGGGGTAAAAACTTGGGAGAGGAGCATAAGGTGCCTCCATCCCTCTAGAGGCATCTTTGGAGAAGAATCTGCCTGTGTCTTGGCGTGGCACCAAACGTCTAAGGCAAAGTGGGTCACGACACTTGGGGAAGATCATTCCCTGAATCGGGGGAGGAGGTACGGCTGGAAATCGGGGACAACATGGAGGCTTCCAGGGGTAGGACCGTGCAAACCCGCCGGCTCCGGCGGGGCAGCAGCTTTGCCTTTCCGGAGGCTGCCAGCCTACAGCCGGGGCGCTCTCCGGGACTCGCCCCTCCGGCCCCGAAACCCCGCTCCCCCCCCTCCGGGGGGAGGAGGGGGCGGCGGAGAGATC